CCACCCAGTAGTCCGCACCCACCCTGGCCACACCCACCGCCCCCCCAAGGGCAACCGCAATGCTGATGTGGCCCTCAATGAAATTGAGTTTGACACCCCTGCTCTAGACTAATGGTCCTCAAACTTGAGATACCTGAGAAACCTTTCTCAATGTGAAAAACTGTATGGATCCCATTAATAAATGTTTTATATAATACCTTGCCATAAATTTCTCTCCTTTAAACAAAACAAAGGAATGAACATTTTACAATTTCTCTATAATCATAAGAGTAAACAGTCATGTGGACCCCCTAGGTTAATTCTTATGGAACCCTGGGTTTCCAGGAAACGCAGTCTTGTTTTTATCGGCTCCAGATCAATAAAGTGTTGTCTTAGCTTTGAACTAGCTTGCACACGGTTGATTTCTCTTTTGTTTTTGCAGGATTCAAAATAAGAAATTTGGAACAGTGGCACAAAGTGAAGTTAGACCATGGAAGTTAGTGGGAAGAACAAGATTTTCATCTGATCTGGAAGAGTTCTGAAGACCAGTTGTGACACAGTTGACCCTGGAGTATCTAAAATCTTGGGGTAATAGTGTTAATCCCCTCTTTCCTCATTCCTCTTATCACCCTGTATTTGAGGTTGATACCTTTGTATCTTCTTACTCCAAAGCTAGTAGGAAGGATGGCTCCTCAACCACATCTATTGGTTTTAGTTACTCATACTCACTAGACCAGAAAATTAACTAAAACCTGTTTATGAATTACAATAACAACTTTCACTGAAATCTGATTACCTAAATTTGGCGGATTTAGATAGTGAAAACATTACCTGTCATGTCAGCCTTCAGGACTTCTGCCTGCCTGTAAATAAAATACATACAATACTTGTTAAAATAATGAATAAAAATCAATATTATAAATACATCAAAAATGCAAGAATACTCACTCAGGTCTTATGGATTTGTGCAACTTATATAAAATGCAATCTGCAATAGAATCTCAGTTCAAGTTCTAAATATATAGCCAACATATAAAGCAACAACAGATTGCTAAGTTATATATTTTTCATATAGCGGGATGCTGGGCATTGCATCAAGCTTAGGTATTTATATATGAATTCATACCTCAGCCATTAGATTAGCAAATATTTTTTGTTTTCAATCTCTCTGAGGTATAGCTACTAACACATTTTATTGTTATTGCACATAAATGCCATCCTTCTCAGCAACTTCACTTGGTACTTTAAGTTTTATATCTGTTGTAGTTGTTATATAGCATATTAACCAAACTATTCCATGCATATGTTTAGGTCATTTTAGAGACATTGTTGAAATGATTGGAATTGGCTATTCACAGAACGGCTGCAACTTCATAAAATATTCATTTTCCAGGGGAAAACTGAAAAAGATAAAACAAAAATAACTTGCTCTTGAATACAGTAGATGTTTGAAATTGCTCTTTTGAAGCATCTTTTGTTTCAGTTCCAACTCAAGAATGCTTTCTACCACCCAACTTATTCCTTAGCTGATTATTAAGAATAGAGTAAATTTAGATACAATTACTAAGACGACTGTTTCATATACTTTGTTCAAAGAAAACAATTGCTATAGCACAATTACTTAAGTTGTTCGTAAATATGCACACTTGTAACAGTTTTATGTACAGCTCACTAGTGTTTTTTTCATAGGTCCTTTTTCATATCCAAAATACCTTAAGAACCTACTTGGAATATGTCCAACACTGGGATTTTTAGGAATTTAAAATTTAAATTTATGTACTAAAAGTTGTTATATAGAAGCCAATTACCACTAAGGGAATTCAACAGCATTTATAGGAAGGAGTACTAGAGCTTATTTATAAATCTTAGCCAGCATGGCCAATGGTGATGATGTATAATATATGAACAGCAAATAATAGACAATCTTTGAAATACACACCCATACACCAATTAAAACGTACATGTGTACCAGGATATTTAAGTACAATAATTACTGGATTAGTTTCCTACATTAAAATCTCATTTAGGGAATATCTGTTACCCTCATATTTATATATATAGTCAACCATGTATTAAGTGGAGCCTTTTCACATTAAGCCACTTGCCAAACTAATAGCTCTTCCTACATAAAATCTTACTACGCTTCTGCATAAAGTCAGAAACCTAAAAAAAATGAGTGTTCTTTTTTCAACATAACTAGGCAGGATAATACAAATATATCACTTTATCAAATGATTAAATGTTAACTACTTGGGTAATAGCCATTGCTTTATTTCTTATTAAATATTATTTTAATGTATTGCTTAGTATGTATGTTACTGAAGTTTTGCAAACCATTTCAAGATGCTTTAACATAAGAAACAGTATATGAACATATTAAATAACTGGAAGCATATTCCAAGTATTTAATAATAGATTTAGTTCTTACATGTCTGAGAAATACAAGTCATTATATATAGAAGACAGAAGTACTAAAATCTCTTATTTACTTTCTTTCAACTGAGTCATCTACCCACATCCCTCTTTAGAAATATTAATAAAAACAATTTTTGTTTTTAAAGAAAAGCAATCTTAAGATACAAAACCTGATTTTTCGTGTTTACTTCAGCAGCAAAAAAAAATTAAAAACTTATTTCCAAATGTATCTTAAAAAGAAAGTAATCTGAATTGTAGAAATCCTAAACAATGAAGCCCAAACTGCTTCTGTGTTGAAGAGTAATTTTATTCAAATATAATCATTTTTTCTAATTATTTATGAGAACATGAATATTTCAGCTGGAAGAATTATGAGAACATGTCTCCATACTGCCTATGCCCGTGGTGGCGAACCTATGGCACGGGTGCCAGAGGCGGCACTCAGAGCCCTCTCCGTGGGCACACGCACCGTTGCCCCAGTCCTAGGCCTTCAGCTGAGTTTTATAAAACCTTTTCGCTTTAGGCCTCCGGCGCCATCTACAAAAAAAAAAAAGGTTCAATCAGTCAATTTCAACTTCTCACGAGAAAAAAAAGATCTCTCAAAGTTGGAATTGATTGATTGAACTTTTTAGTCCCACCCAGTCTGCCGTTACCACCGCAGCCACGGCCACCCAATGGGCCACACCCAGCCAATGGGCCACACCCACCCAGCACTCGACGATGCATAAGTGGGTTTTGGGTTGCAGTTTGGGCACTCGGTCTCTAAAAGGTTCGCCATCACTGGCCTATGCCTTGTGCAAATATAGTATTTTATATATATATATATATATTTTCAAAATATATTTGGGCCGACAGGGTGCACCAAAGTGGGTTTTGGGTTGCAGTTTGGGCACTCGGTCTCTAAAAGGTTCGCCATCACTGGCCTATGCCTTGTGCAAATATAGTATTTTATATATATATATATATATATATATATTTTCAAAATATATTTGGGCCGACAGGGTGCACCAAACTCAAGATATATATATATATATATATATATAAAATAAATACACACACACACACACCCCCTGCTATGTTTGTTCATTTTCCTCTAAAATCAGACTTAACCCTGAAACTTGAAGGCCTGCTATCAAAGTTCCACAGAGCTTGCTTCCTGTCAGCTGGTATTTTCAGTCTCAAAATACAGCTTCCAAATCCTGCTGTTTCATTTAGCTCTTGATTTCCACATTAATATTACTCTGAAAGAACTATCCGTATTTCCCAAAAGAATAAGACACGCAGGATTGAAAAGAGATCCTCATGACTCTATGATGCAATACAGTTGTAGTAATGGCACATTATTCCCTTTCCCAGAGGTTGTCATTTACACACATAAACATGGGCATTCTGCTGGTATAAAACAAAAGCAGAAGTTTAATGGAAATAATATTGTCTGTCTCTGTTTCCATTAACATCTATTTTAGAATGTCCAAACTACAAGCTGAAACAAGTAACTGACCAGAGTTAAAGCCTAACCTATTTAACCACATTTGCCA